AAGTTTTTTCTCATTTATAAACATTACCTCACGCCATAACACCTCTGATTTCGTCACGTATTCCTTTGCAGACTGAAGTCGTTTAGTTCTATTCCCAGCATCGATAAAGGATTTCTTTCTGGCCGCTCCGCCGTGGTAACCGGTATTCCTAATTACTCTGCACACTGTTTCGGGGTGCACAGATATCCCTGGTGTTTCGCGCAGTTCTGCTGCCAGCTGGACGGCACTCACCTTCAGATTTTCTCGTACTTTCCACACAATTGTAAGCTGCTCTCTTCCGTAGATCTTCTTACGTTTTCCTCGTTGCAGTTTAGGTTCAATTCTGTCTTCTTTCTCAAATCTCTTAATGATATCGTGCACTATGTTCTTGCCCATGAGCAAAATATTTGCAATCTCCCTGCAGCAGCGTCCCTTTGCGTGGTGGGAAACCACAAGCTGCCTCTGCTCGAACGTCGGGTTCTTTCCCTTGCGCCCCATTGCTAGAGGTGTTTCCAGGCGAAAATATTAACAGCGACTGACTGCATAATTTCGTTTGTCATGGGTAGAGGCTGGTGCGCTTATCGCGCTATCTAGGAGAGTGGCGAGGGGGTAAGAGGACATTTTCCATTACGTGTCCGCACATAAATGTGACTTCGTATTTTTGCAAATCCACACATAAATCCATGTTTATAAGAAGGTATGTTGTGCATCAAAAACATTTTCTTTGCATTATTCAGTTTCCTAATAATAAAGTCACAGTTCCTTTGTATTTCCTCACATGGAACTTCCGCGCACGTGCGAAAAATTACATTCAACCAGAAAATCCTTCTGAATTTGTGGCTGTTCGAATATTAATGTGAGCCACTGTAAGTAAATCGTGTTAGTTGCAAGAACAAATAAGTTTGCTGTCACTCTTCTCTGAACTTTCAAACGCGAGTTAATCATCAATAAGTAATACAAATTTACTATTTAATCGCTTTTTATTTATAATGACTCAAGGAATCCTACAGCCGACAAATACTACATTAGAGAGATCATTAGTAATTTTTCGCTACTTCAAAAAAAAAGGAAAAGTTGGTGAAATTTTGAAATCTCGTATCTCTGTTATTATTAGCGTGATAATAATAATTCTTGAAATAAACATTGTACAGCATTTTGTATGACCTTTAAAATTGCTGAAACATATTTGCGCCAAGATCAACTATTATAAAAGTATTATGCAAAAACAAAAAATTCCCGAAACTGTTTTAGTCTTTTAGTTACCAAAATGTTTGCAAAGTACTTTGAGGCGAAAAATTTAGATTTTCCTTACTAATAAAAATATAAGCGAAATAAAAACAATTAAACCTCTTACCTCACCTTTTCCAAGGCAAAATGACTTATCGACTACACCATAATACACTTTAATTACCTCGTTAAAACGCCACCCTCGCCTACCGCGATTCATTATGGACGGCAGAGGTACCTGAAGTACAAAGAAGTACTTTATTCTCGGAACATTTGGATGTGTGAAGAATTACTAGTATTATACCTCTCCTTCCAAACTCGCTCGCTCTTCCAGGAACTCCACCGGCTGTGAACTCTGCGAGTAGCCAGTCACTCACGACCTTGGCAAGAGAGCGTTAGAAAGTGTAAAGAAGCAGTCGTTGGGACCTGCTGATGGCGGTACACGAAGAACAAGTGAACGGGTTTGACAGTAAAGGAGAATGAAACAATTATATGCGTCGTCATTGCCAATAATATTGTTGGCAATGACCACGCATATAATTATTTCATTGGAAATGCCAACGAAAACTCACCACAATACCTATTGTAAAGGGGAAGCGTGAATTGTGAGCATCTAGAGAAGAAAATCCTTCTGCTAAACAATAGAATGTTTCGAATAAATTTTTACTGTAATGTGGTAAATTAGGGAGCAAAAAATGTTATATGGTTTGTGTATTTCAAAGCGTACTATACACAAATTGACTAATGAATACATGCCAGATAAAAATGTAACTGCGGAGAATACAGGTCGTGCTATACAAATGATTTAAGTACACGTACGTTAAACAAGATCAATGTGTTGTGCTAAAGAGAATACTCTCTTCTCGTACTGTCTTAATTAATCTTTTATTTTAAACGATCGTATTTCCTTTTTATAGTAAAACAAATTAAAGAAATATATTTACGCACCTAGGCCCTACGAAATAGTTTCAGAAAAACATCGTTGTAACACCAACCCCTTTACAGCGCCAATACGTGCTGTGAACAAAAGTTTTTGTTTTAACGAGGTTTAAATTTTATATATAACTTTCAGCAGCATGCAAGCTTTTCTTCGGGGGTGGGGAAGAGGCGGGAAGGCAATTGCTATAGAGTCCAGACGACATGATGTCTTCTTATAAGAAATGTTTCATTTACGCTGAATATAAAATGAATTTTTGTTTTTAGTCTTATAGTTAATATTTATAAGGTCGAAATTGGTATGTTTAATTATTTTCTTTGGTGGACACAATTATTAAATATTATATTTTGTTAATATGAATTAGTCTGAAATGTCATAAAGCACCCCCATGAGTGCACCACTGCATAAACATAATAACAGAAAATAGATGTACCTAACGATATTACTTATTAAAGCAGGCTGTAGAGGCGCAAAAGCATGCAAAATCTATCGAACGCTGTTTCTATTTTGAGTCTTATGCCTGAGATCTTAGTATATGTAGCAGAGAATGTGTAAGTAAATGCTCTGGTCGGGCTTACCTTGAGATGACATTAAAGATGGCGAAAACTAGAATAACTCTGAAATCAATATCTCTGTAAACCCTGACCCGATCGTTTTCCGTCATGTTTTAAATGAAATAAAATATGATCTTGAATTTCTGTAACACACGTTTTAATATCTCGTATGTGTTTTAGCCAAAGTTTAATTTTTGAACAAGTGAATAAAAACTTGGCGTGGAGATATACAAACAGTTATTTGAAGATAATTTTCGGAACGTTCTCAACGAGATCGTCAGAGACTTTGATGCCATTTTGAATTTCCTGACACACATACTATTTCAGAGGAACGTTTGGAAAGTTGGAGCTTCCCAGAAGAAATAGTTTTTGAGGTAAATCTGTTTCTTTGAACCCGTGCAGCGTCGCTGTATTACCTGATTACTATATTTTTGCAAATTTTGAAACCAATATTTTCTTCTCCTTTATTGTCAATCAAATGAAAACTATATGTGAGAAAATGTAATGAGCTGTAAGATGAAAATTATGCATTCAGAAAAAATATTATATTATGACCCAAGTTTCATATTTATTTCTCAAAAGTTATTTAATGTTATAGTTTAGATTTTTTCCTTTGTCTGGGGTTCATTTTACCCACTATGTAATAATAAATGAAAAGTGAATATTAGTTACGTAGAAAGGAGCAAACAAGTAGAAGTAGGCTAAGTTTCATTTGTTTAGCAGTAAAGATAAAGTAATTTACTGCATACAAAAGCTGATAATATCCAGTTTTTTGATATCAGGAACCCCAAATATGAGTTTTATGGCCTAAAGCAGCTGTTTGCTGTATCATTGCATTTTGTTTATTCTGCGTAAGTAAATACAAGAAAGTAAAAACCCAAATATTTAAGTTGTATTTATCACCTAACATTACAAATGTGGAGCAACTAGCAGTTGCCATGATGCAATGTTCGAAGAAAGAACCTGAAATACAAGTTGTACCAAATACACAGGAGTTAAATAAAGTACTACTATAAATATTTTTTCTCATGTACTTGCTATGGTAATGTTTAGTTGACCATGATCATGTTTTCTGTGAATGATATGTGATAATGAACAGTCATTTTCGTTGACCTCAGTCGACACAAACGTAACTGAAGATTAAATAATTATCAGATATTCATGAAAATAATTTACGTTTTACTTATTAGCCGAAGTAACCCTCATGTGATTCATCACAAACAGTTAAAGGGTTTTCCGTAAGGAAAAATGGAAACAATGTTATTTACATCATTGCCATCCTACGAAGCACCGCCATACCCCGTCTGCCCTCTCCTCCCCTTGCCCTTCCATTCTGCCACCAACTGTCTCGCTCGCTCACCATCACTCTGTCTCCAGTCTACCCTTCCCCTACCGTGCACCAGTCCCCACACCGCACCATCCCACCCGCTTGCAATTTCCATCACGTCACGCCCTGATCCGCCTCGCCCATTATTCTTGTTGATCGCCACGCAACCTCCCACTGCCACTGGACGTAATTTTTAATTTGACCTTGAAATACCTGACCTTATTTTTTATTTGACCTTGAAGATTAATTGTGCTCTTGGAAGGAATCGAAAAACGTTTATTATTTATTGTATAGGTGTCCAGAAGATTACGATATATTTCAGCTGACTTTCCTCATCTGTTCCAAGATGTTCGAGAACCTTCTTGTGCTCACTTGCATTCTACTTTGAGAGATGGGGATGTGGGATGGGAATGTGGGATGGGGATGAGAGGTCTAGATAAAAGTGCCACGATGAACTATCTAGGTGAAGGTGTGTGAGTATATAACATTGAAAAATGTTTAGAGAACAGACTGACATTCCTAATTTATACATAACGGAGACATGCATAATTTGAATGTAGTATAAATGTAAATGTAGGCTATAGAGAAAATATTCTATCATTCTAAAAGACTTATATACCACCTTTGAAATTGGAAATCGTAACAATCGAAATGACTTAACGTTTTCGTGCGCAGAGTGATTTATAAAAAACGTAAAATAGAGCACGATATCTGTTACACACGTTTCTTATCATTAATGTGTAACTATTTGTAAAACAAAGACATTCTGGTAATATAGTTTTTCTATATTGTCAAGATTTTAAGAAAAATCGTGCCACAACAGCTCTACGTCAAAAAAAGGTCAGATGCGTCAAGGTCTACTGAAGATGCACGTGACCACGATTCGTTACGCAAGGGTCACCGCGGGCTTTGCAGTGGTACTTGGAAGAGAACGGAGTCATCATGAAAGCACAAGAAAGTCGGCGTCGTTGTCTGCCACAGACATTTCTCGGAGGCGGACACACACTCGCTGACGGTCTGAAGAGTAGTGTTGATTGACGTAGCTGGTGTTTCGCGACGCACTTTGAACTGCTTCTCCTTTGGTAAGTTAAATGCTTGCAATGCTTCGCTGTGATGTGATGTGAGAACTTGATTTAATTTAACATGATTTCATATTTTAATTAGAGCAGGTACTTACAACTTTTTTTAAAGAAATATTCGGGATAAACGATGAAATGGAAACGTAGCCTCCTTAGAAGGCGTAAAATAAACAGAAAAATGTTATATTTCATTGAGTGCGAATATAGATGTTCTAAAAATATTCAGAATTTACGAACGACAAAATAATGTAAGTAACGGTGGCGATGATATAAACCAAATAATTTTAAATCAAATTAGTGAATATTTTACCCGGTAATAATATCAATTTATTTTAACTTGCATCTACATCTATGGTTATTAACAACTACATTTAGAGACATTACTAAACATTTTCATCAGTTATGAAAACAGTACTTAAACATTATACATGGTACAGAAAAAATAGGATGTATACATACACTGCTAAATACAAAATTGTAATTGTACAGTTTTAAAATACATTTAGTTAGGTTATATTTTAATTTTGGATATACTTGATGTACATAATTGTTTACATAGAATAGACAATTATTTTACTAATTGAGTCATTCTCATTCAGTAGAGAATATTTCATATCTTATCCAATATAGAATATTTTAACTCGAGGAAACAATATAAATCCGAGGGAGAATTGGGTTATACTAACAAAATGGTTAATTCTTCCGTACAAATTAATTTTCACTTTAAAGTTGTCTGGAATTAACATGTCAGGTGTACGCTATATAACGTTTTTACTAAATTAATATATACGAAAACTTTACATACCAAAGAATAATTTTAACAATATATTCGAATTAAAGGCTGGGAATCTTATTTATTAAGCTTACTCAATATTCATTTATCTCGAATTGATAAAAAGTACACATAAAAGAAACAAAGATGTTGTATTTTTAAATTAAGAAACATTTAGATTAATGATGATGATTACGAGTTAACAAAGCCAATTAAATAATAATAGTAAGGAAAATGATGATACTAATAATACAATTTATCTAAAATATTTTGAAAAATGAGGAAGATAACTACAATTCAACATTATACGGACTAAAAAGTTGCCATAATTTTTTTGTTAGTGATAATGAGTTTATATTAAAAGTGACATTCATTCTTTTAACAAATATTTTTGCAATATTATTATTTAATTACACGCAGAACATATACTCTTCATCTGATATGAAGTATAAACTAATAAAATGTATATTATTAAAAATTATATTTATATAATTTAATTTTCTCGAAAACTACTCGCAATGAATAGACATCAAAAGAAAATTTTTGAGAGACAACGTCGTTTTGTAGGTCCTTGGTACTAGAAAAGTAGATAATTCTTGTTCATGAATGTAATAAATTACTGCCTCTTAGATCTTTTTTTCATGTATTTACACAGATGGTGAATACGTAGCCCAATTTAAATTAACTATACATATGTTGGATGATTTAATAGCTAATTTCAATTAAAAATTTTAAACTAATAGAGAGATTGAGGTTACCATGGGACTCCTCTAGTCGACATATTGTTCGGACAACTTCTTGAAGAAAAAGTACAAGGGAAATCTATTTTGTATTCTGGTTCTAAGTGATGCGTTTTTGCTGAGATTTGAAATGTGCTTGAAAATAAATTGGTAGCTAGATAGGAAATATGATGATCTATGGTCTCGTGGTCGAACTGATTACTGGTGGCCGTTTGATCCAGGGAGCGTTTGAAATAATTCTGATAAACCGATTTTGTACAATTTGCAGTCAGGCAATGATACACACAGACGAGATGATTCAGGTAGGAGATTATACGAAAATCATGTGGATTGAGCCATCATTTAAATGACAGCATGTTTGTATAAAGTAGGTATTTAATAGATCTTTACGTAACAACTGTGTGAGAAGGTAATTTCACAAAAATCAGATTAATAGAACGCGAGTTCTTTTGGGATGAGTGTGTTATTTTTCCCCAGTTCTACAGTGACCGATATTACACAGAAAAAGATTAGGTTTTATATCATCCCTTAATTTTTAACCCAAACGTATTTCGAGCAATACGTTTTCATCTTAAAAATTCCTTGATATTACCACGGCACTGCATAATGTTAACCATGAAGCTCAATGTACATAAAATAGAAGGTTCAACACTGACAGATTAGATACGTATCAATTTAGAACTAGTGGTGTTAAACAGCGCTTACTTTCCCCCCCCCCTATTTTCACGCAAAATCACGCGTTTATCAGAACTGAAATGTTCGAAAAATTGTCCAGGATCTTATTTCAAAATCTAACTTTAAGGAACATATTTCATTAAGAGAATAAAAAGGTTTATCTTTAATATTTTTGTTGTACGAAGACTCCAAAAGAATTTTCACTTTTGCAATTTTTAAAAAATCCTGGTTTTAAGTTATTTTACGAACATGAGACCTGCACCAATGTCTTAAAAGTTCTTCGCACTATCCAACAAAAAAAATTAGTAAAAAACAAGAAAATCTTTTTTTTTTTTTTTGCAAATTTGGAAATTGACCCAGAGGTTTTAGGTAAAGTATCCCCAAAATTAAAATATCGGTTTCAAATATAAGGTAAACTGATATCAGCCATAACGATTGGGATATATCAATTTTGGAGAAAATCGGTAGAGAGGTTTATCCGCTAGCATTGTTCACTGACTCGACGGGCGGACGGACAGACGGACGGACAGACGGATGGACAGACGGACGGACAGACGGACGGACAGACGGACGTACAGACGGACGGACGGACAGACGGACGGACGGACAGACGGACAGACGGACAGACGGACAGACGGACGGACGGACAGACGGTCGGACAGACGGACGGACAGACGGACGGACAGACAGGTGGACGGACAGACGGACGGACGGACAGATGAACAGAAGGACAGACGGACGGACGGACAGACGGACGGACAGACAGACAGACAGATAGACGGACGGACAGACAGACGGACGGACAGACGGACGTACAGACGGACGGACGTACAGACGGATGGACGGACAGACGGACAGACGGACAGACGGACAGACGGACGGACGGACGGACGGACAGACGGTCGGACAGACGGACGGACAGACGGACGGACAGACGGACGGACGGACAGATGAACAGAAGGACAGACGGACGGACAGACAGACTGACAGATAGACGGACGGACAGACAGACAGACGGACGGACAGACGGACGGACAGACGGAGGAACTGACAGACAGTCGGACAAACGGACGGACGGACAGACGGGCGGACGGACAGACGGACGGACAGACGGATGACGGACGGACAAACATTTTTCCGTCATTCGATTTTTCGGTAATACGTAAGGCCCCAACATGGATTCTGTCTATACTAGGAGTTACAGGATTTTTTCTTAATTTAGCAAATGAATTTATTAACTTTTCGTTTCTAGTGCCAAATGAGTTTTTCTGTCCAAACTTCGTCACTTGCAAAACTTTCTCTCTACTCTGTAGTGAGAAAGGAAAGTTGTAATTGTTAAAGTAGCGAAAGAGGTAAAGTACATTTTGAAACTAGTGATGTTCCACCAGTACAATATATTCTCGTATTATATCTAAGTTTTGAATTATACAAAAATTCAGAGTTCAACAACAAGTAGACCTTCGCGTTTACGCGTTCCTAGTTATATGTGGAAGAAAATATCTTTAAAAAAATATTTTGCAGCGTTTTTTGAGAAAATGTTTCTTTCTTGCATAAATTTCAAACAGAAATTACGCACAAATTACTCTTTTTTCTTTATATGATGTTTCTAAAGAACAAACAAGAGAACAGAGATAAAGATACTGGACCTTTCGAACTGCTGATTTTTTAAACAAATTTGTAAGGCAAAAATCACTTTAATTTCGTAGTATTTAAATGTTAATTTTTAGCAATTTTAGAAAATATAGACTTCACTGGATATGAGACCATTACTACATTTTTTACCGTAGTTTTATTCATACGAGGAGAATATTTAAAGAGCAAATTTAGATCCATCTTTTAAATAAAAGTTAAAAAACATAAAATTAAAAATTGTCTTTCGGAACAGAACTCACATTTTAATAATATTTTCGTTTTAGTTACCCACGGTGTAAGGTATTTGATACACACCTCATATTATTCAACCACTAATTAGTTTTCTTTTAATACCTTTCGTTTGGACAGGATGTCATTTCTAACATTCTTACTTTTCCTACTAAAATAACCATTAACTATTTATTTCGGTACCCTGCTATGCTGACAAATTCTCTCAATACCGAAATATTATTATACTATTTTTTCTTTGAAATTCAATCTTGGGTTGACACACATATCTCTCCTTACCTACTGCATGTTGACGTGTAATTCTTCACAGAATTACGATTTCTGAAAGTTCTGTGGATCAAAATTAACTATTGAATTTATAGAAACTATTGTTAGTTATCAGCCTTTTGTCGTTTCAAAAATCAAGTTTAACTTTTATAATAACATCTTTACGCAACGTGGGATCTTCGGGTTTTCACAATATATTTCGCGAAAAATGACGCGAAACAATTAGCATTTACGAAAACTTGTACACGCCCTTATTTCAAGATATGTCTTTAAAGATTTAATTAAGAAAAAAAATCTCCAGCTTGCCACTAGCGAGCGTTTTTCGGTCGTTGCTTCGAAGATATCTTGCCTTTTAATATCCGCAAGTCTACCGGAAATTATCCGCTCTATCTCACGTGTTCCCATATTCACAACCATCTCTGGAGAATCTCTCCCAGACCAGCTCATTGTAGTATCCGTTTAATCTTGTACGATCAGAAGCGTTGGTCGCATCCCTGTAACTGCACACTAAAGTACCTATGTATAAGCGTGACAGCGTGTTCACCTGTTAATCTAATCCAAAGTTTAATGGGTTTTATTTTTAAATCTTTCCACATTCCTACACTGTCTACCTCTCTTAAGACCCCGGCATTTGCTGCAAATTTAGAGACTCACAGAATTAATTTGTAATAATCTGTTTCGACACTTTCTAATCGATCTATCCTATCCATTCCCCAGATGTCTTTCCCATAATTCATTGCTGGGAGAAGTAGAGATTTAAACATAGTATCGCACACCATTAAAGCCAAGTCCAATACCCTACGCACTGTACATACTTTCTCTCAGCGCAATTTCTCCTTTACTTTTCCCCGTCACTATGTGACTATGTAACCCCATTCATGGGAAATTTTGCACTAAGTTATGTAAACGTTTTGACGCGAGCGAGCTCCTCGTGCGCATAATATAATTTCTCTTTATCCCAAATAAAACCCATTCTTGAAGACAATTTTCGTTTTATGAATATTTTCTTTTAATCCCCATGTCTCACTATACCATTCTAGACTTTAAACTCGTCTGTAAGCCCTCAATAGTCTCCAAACATTCTAGAACTAAATCATCAACATACAGTAATCTGGGAACTTTCAGGTCATCAATATTCAGCGCTTCTGAATGTCCCCGGTTCCTGTACTGTGATCGTGAGTTCGCGACCCGGTTCGGGACCGAATGTAGTCTCTGACTGTCGTCAAAAAGTCACGGTTCCACTGACTTGACGATCGCAGTTTCATCGGCCTACCGGTAGCAGCGTCCTTGCCATCGAGGCAGGGAACGCAGTTTGCCCCGGAAACTCCACGCACGCAGTTCCGCACAGATTTGAGAGCTCGATTCAAGGAAGGTTTATTTAAGGGATGATTAGCTAGGGAAACGCAAAGGGGCTTACCTTGTTTTGAAATGACATCACAGAGTTCAGTTCAGGTGTATTAATATATGAGAGAAGTCCGCTAGGCGCGCGGACGCCGCAGCTGCAGTGGTTGTGTTGCCGTTGCCAAGTTGCGCGTCTATCGGAAGACGTTGCAAGGGGACAACCGCCTTCCAAAGCTGGAGCGGTTTCGTGGGAAGTTGGTAGTAGACCTGTGGTAGCGCCGCTCCGAGCGTTGCGCACTGCCGCCCTCACCTCAGATTTCCGAAGGCACGCGCCGCCGCCGCCGTTTGTTTATGGTGGCGCGGCGCTGCGAACAACCGGAGTAGCTTCGGTTCCGCGGCACAGTTCAATTCCCGGCGCGTTGTGAGTCGCATACGACTGACCTGTCGCACATGTGTTTTGTCTCGTCCGGCTCTCAGCCACTTACTTCAGTTCTCACTCACACTCCCGGATTTTCTCTTACATTCTCTCTTTCTCTCTCTGCTCTCCGCACATACTCGACAATCGATATCCGCCATCATCATTCTCCCCCGAACACGTCTGCCTCCACACGTTCCCCGAGAGTTTCTCTTCCTTCGTCTCCGTGTTCACATCTGCACTGCACACGTCTGCCCTCCTCTCGTCGCATGTTGAGTATAGTCAGCCTGATTGAGTGATGTCGCATGTTGAGTATAGTCAGCCTGGGTCGAGTGAAGTCATCGTGATTCGTCCGTTTGGTCAGGTGTGAGGGGAATCCCGGATTTAGGTACATCAGGTTACATCAGCTTGGGTGGTTCCCCTGTCCGTACATCTAGGGGAATCCAAAAGTAGTTTGTCACTGACACAGTCGGGGAAGTCCCTTCTCGAGTATCGTCTGTGTCAGAGTCGGTAGATCAGCTTGGCGATGGGTCTGCAGTTTTTTACGAATGTGCTGCTTCAGTGTTTCCGTCACAGAACCGAAGTCAATAAATCGTTTATAAGCAAGATTAACAAAAGCCGTGAGAAAGAACATCCCTGTCTTACTCCTACTGTTGATTGTATTTTTCACGTTGTACTTCCGTCGCCGCACATAGCGCAGAAATTTACTTCTCTGTACATGCTCGGCAAAACATTTTAACCTTTACATGAGACGCCTAGCTCATTTAGTTTTTGCCATAAAGCTATTGGCTTTTGCCATAAAGCTAAAGGCATTGATTGATTCAAAAGCCTTTTAGAAATCCACAAAACTGCAATATAAATGGACCCCTTTACGTGAAAGCACCTGTTTTGTTGGGGTATCTAGAATAAAGATATTGTCGGTGGACGTAAAGCCTCTTCTAAAGCCTGCCTAAAATTTTTAATTTTACCGTATTTTTTCGCCCAATCATTCAGCAGCCCGTTTAGTATTTTACATAACAATTTACTTAAAGCTAGAAAAAGACTAATGTCACGACAATTCTGTGTGCAATTTGTATCAGCTTTATTCTTAAAAACCTGTTGGAGGAAAACTGCACTCCCCGTTTCTGTATAAGATCCGAAATCAACAATGCTATTAAATAAATTCAGAATACTCTCTGGATCTATATTCCACAACTCCCGCATGCCGTTTACGACACCTAATTTCTTACTATTCGTGGCTAGAATAGTAAGAAATTCACTTCACTACACGTCTAATTCATACTCCAATCAGTAAAAATATCTGTCCCTGTTTCAATGTCCGCTACTGCGAGCGTCCGTGAAAAATGCTGCACCCCCGCGTCTGTTGAAATTATATTACTTGCATTTATTTTACTACGCAGAGATCTGATTACCTTCCAAATTGATTTACTCAGACCGTTCCTTAAAACTGCTTCTTTTCTTGCTGACTCACTCTCCTGCCAAGATTTCTTTGATTTCTTAATTGTGACTTCATACTGCCTACGTACTAACAAGTAATATTGTCTCACTATCGCAATTCCCACGCTTTCGAACATTCTTAATGATAAAATTGCTTCACTCCTGATTTTACTACTCTCCACGTTAAACCGCCCTACCTCCACCCACCCACCCCACTTTCGCGTGCCCTTCCCTGCGCGGTAGCGCCGACTTTCTAAATTCTTTGTTTGCCTCTCCGGTGACCAAACATCTCGCAGGTGAGTTAAGAATAGACTCTTCAAATTCCTGTCGCTTTCCCTCGTTTTGTACAAACCGTTGTCTTGCTATTGTCACGTCCGTGGCTCCGTTACGTCACTGCCGATAGTAGTTCAGTAACATTTACTGCTAAATGAACCACAGGGGCAAACGGTCGGATTTCCCCGTAATTCAATAACAAAACCTAATAAAGTGTGATATATTGTCACGCTCACACCTCCAATTTAACATAACACATTTCTCTAGTTTAATGTCCCCCCAAAATCTATTAAAAATAGATTGCAATAATTCAAAAAGAAAAAGTTAGATTACAAGATTAAAATTTTATTCATCCTTGCCAATGTGTGACCGAGATTTTCCTTTACTGTTACATGTGATAGTCTTTTTTAATTTAAAGTCTGTTCATACGTTTTGTCTGTAGGGCTGAAAAACAAGCACGCCAGGTTCAGCGGATGACATTACCTTTTTTTGTCCTTGGAGTCAACGACCTGGCCAGCTGTTCCGACCTTTCTGTGTCGAGTTGCTTGCAATTTGCCGAGCGCCGAACATTCGGTATTCGCCCTACCCACCGCGTCTTTATGACAGAGAATCGGGTTGTTCGAACTGCTCGGTGAATGTCGAATGTGTGGATCCGCCGCTAAACAGTTAAACTCAGTGGCGCTTCTTAGTAGCTTAGTGTGAAGGCTGACGTTTAGAAACGTGTTCCATTGCCGGAGGCGTGGAAGCGGGTGCGCTCTTTGTGGCGTCTCACGTGAACACATCCATTTACGTCCTTCGTACGCCTTCCTTCGGAGAGGAAGTAAAGCCGATTGTCCCATGTAAAAGATCCTCAAGCCTAAATGTAGACTGTGAGCTAAATTCAAATCGCCTGTTTAGTCACCCAAGAAATACCTACTTTCTCCGCTAGTGGGTGAAAGGAGCGTAGGGATATTTGCTTGGTCAGACGGAAGAGCAAGCCTCATGGCCTGAGTCTCGCCGCGTAAAATGAGGCATCAATTCAATTCATTTAAACCAATGGTTTGCCAGGAGGTACCCTGAGTGGCTCGGAGTGAAGTGACTCGTCTACGCAGGCGACAGAGGGATGTCGACGTGGCTGCTGCCGCTGGAGGCGCTGCCCGCGCCGTCGACGGGCGCGGCGGTGCTGGTGGCGCTGCTGGTGGGCGCGGCGGGCGCCCTCTACGCCTACGTCACGCGCCACTTCGACTACTGGCGCCGCCGCGGCGTGCCCTTCCTGCGCCCGCTGCCCGTCGCCGGCAACCTCAAGGACGTGCTGCTCTTCCGCAAGCATGTCGGGAACGTGCTGCACGAGGTCTACACGCAGTGAGTTCTTTACGAGGTAGCACAGGCGCGCGAAGGCCAAGAGCAGGGGGGCTGCGGCCCGGCTGAACATTTTGAAAGGGGCCCACGTAACTCTACGTAATGAAATATTTTATTTAAAATAAACTCAATCCCTGTTTTTTGCACATTTAACCTAGAAATTTGGGGAGATTGTATATGGCATATCCGAAACAGGTTCAACCAACAATCTGACAACCGTGTACATAGTTTAACTAAATATCTACTGTAAATTGTAAAGGTATAATTAAAGATATTTTATTTTTTAATGCGAATATTGGTCATTTCAAACAAAGCACAACGTAATTTTTCAAGGCCCAGTTGCATTTATCCCGGAGAGATTAACGTGGCTTTATTTGGTAGGAGGAATAGCCTTTCCAGCTGTAACCGTTTTTGGCCGTGGTGGGATTATAATGACGGGTGAAGCGACAAAACAAATGCAGCCATATCTACTCTGGATTTGAACCTGCAGGCTGCTCAGTGCAGATGAAGGCAGTCACAATCGCCTGCGTCACAGGGATTAATATTATTTATATATTATTATTTATTATTCTTCTCTATTAAAGATACTGTCATTATTCTTCTTTCAGTTTTTTAATTCATTTCCTATTAAACATATCATTTAACTTATCTTTGCTTACCAGGAGATGTAGCTCAGGGGGGAATGTAACTGATGTTACTGCAGTCCTAGGTTCGAGTCCGGACGGCGGCAGGATTTTCGACACTAGCTTGTCACCTAGGTTGAATTCAGTCGCTGTCAGGAGTGTGGCCGGCTTCTCCAATCGTTTTCCCGTGGTTTCTCCGATAAATACCAGTCGAATGCCAGAGCAGTACACTACGCAACAAACCTGGACCTCACGCGATCTTTCCTTCTTATTCCTTACCTTATCAGATGCGCGATCTTTCCTACCCCCTCCTTGATCTATCCTCACCCCTTACATACACACACACACACACACTTATACCAATACGTACACTACCACATGTCGAGAGACCATGTATTTGTGAATATTAATCTATGAAATTCATCCATAATAAATCAATTCCACATATGTTCACCTTCGCTCATAACGATACAGAATGGACGATAAGGTTGGTAAACATTCGCTTAGGTGCTAGGTGTGCAGAACAAATATAACGTACCTTGTAATAATATTTTGACTTCGGCGGGAAGTTTTTTTTTCTGTCTCATTCAATAATTGTTACAGGATGAAGGAACTACCTTACATGGGATTATTCTTTTACGATGCACCCGTATTCTTCATAAAGGATGCTGAGATTTTCAAGAATATTGTAACAAATGATTTTGAATATTTTCAAGACAGAGGTTTTTCACCTGTTAAAGCTGACCTAGTTTTTTCTGAGACGCTATTTGCAAGAAAGGGTGAGCTTCATGTTTGATTTGCATTGTGTGTTTTTATTTGTTTTTTTAACCATTATGTACCTTAGGAAGAAAAGTAACAACTCTAATTTTGTAAATATGTAATATAACAAGAACACAAATTGTATTTAAATTCACAACTCAACATTTATTGAGTGAAGTGTTTATTTTAAAGAAATCAATTCTGGTTGACGCGAATATAGCTCAAGGACTGAATAAATTCTTCTTTCTAATTCCAGGTGATCGCTGGAAGGATCTACGGTTGAAGTTGAATCCGGCATTTACTGTAACAAAACTGAAACGATTCTACGTGCTTCTTCAACAGAAGGCATCAAATCTTGATCACTATTTCGACGATGCTGCAAGAAAAGGTATTGACTTTGACCTCACTCAACACGATCTTTACTTTTCCTTCCTATATTTTAATGAAGGAAGGTACAGTATTGAAGTTACCACCTCAAAAATACGATTTCAAATTTTTGGTTGTAAAATTTGTATGAAATTATTTTCAGATGAATTTTAGCACACAGATCAGTCTTGTCTCCTAGTGCTGTTTTGAATATGGTTACGGTTTTAGACATTTGGCGAGGAGGAGTTGAAATATATATATATATATATATATATATATATATATATATATATATATATATATATATCGGTATGGATGAAGGGATCAACGTATGAATACTAGCTTTTCAGCTCAAACTTGGTAAACACATCGGAAGTAAAAGATATGTGTTTCGTATGGGAAACATAAAGATATAGTAATTCTGGAGAATACTGTTCGGAAAAGCTTCTTTGCAACATTTTGTGAAAAATGACAGCAATTCTTTATTTGTTTATTTACTTATTAATTCTTTTTGCTTGACAAAAGGAATATCCATTTATAAATATAATGTAGTTTCGATATTTATTAAAACATCTAAAATTTTGAAAACTGCAAAGTTCAGTTTTATTACGAAGCTATTTTACATTTCCAATATTGAAGACAGGTAGATGCTTGAGAAGAAATTCGAAGAAGTCTAGAAAAGGCATCGTACACTGTCAAAAATGACCACAAATATAAAAATCACGAAAAATAGAAACGAACAAATGTAGAAAAGTTTTCATTTGAGAATAGAGTGATACAAGATTAGACTAACTTACATGCAGCCCTCTTTCAATAATCTTCGTTACCTAAATTTAAAAATAATTTAAATAACAATTTTTTGGTAGTGATATTGATTAAAAGTAATATTTAAAAATATAAATAAATAATTTATATGTCTTTGGCAATATTGTACAAGTACACAACCACGAGTACTGGCAGAAGAAACGTATAAGTATAAATAAAATAATATTTGTAATATATATTTTATTTGTAACGTACTATTTAATTTCAACATCCTTCATTGTATCAAAATTGGTAGTACTCTTGTATCATTAATTATTGTAGTATTGTATTGTTATTATGATAATATTTTATTACTATTGTATTACATTTAGAATGTTTTAAGAGTATTGCATTGTAAATTGTCTCCGAATAACACGTCCACTTGCAAGGAAATAGAATAATTATTATTATTATTATTATTATTATTATTATTTTAAAATTTGTACTTCTGACAATAATAATAATAATATTAATAATAATAATAATAATAATATATAATAATAATAATAATTATTATTATTATTATTATTATTATTGTCAGTGTACAAATTTTCAAGTAGTACTCGTTCCGTCTGCGTCAGGCGAGCCGTGTGACGTGTCGAACGCGTGTGCCCGCTACACGATGGACGCCATCGCCACTGTGGGCTTCGGCATCGAGACTACCGCCCTCACGGACGACAACGATCCGCTGCACAGGCTGTTGCGGAGAATTTTCGTGTACAGCAATCTCTACCTTCACGCTGTAAGAATTAACTTCGTTTTAGCAATACTAGAAATACTAGTATGTACGGGAATGATACAAAGTGGTAGCTTTGGATATTCACTGTCCAAAAGGTGGAGTGAGTCGAGAAAGACAAAAGGAATTGAAATAAATTTCGGATTCCATTAGAATTTAAAACTGTTAGTGCTACTTAAACTTTTTTATTATTTTGTATTATTTTACGTACGTTACGTAATATTACACTAGAAGTAGTACACATATGTCTGGCGTCAGTCACACGTTTAGTTACATCCGTTACATATAAGTTACCTTTTCCTCCTTCCCGGAATTATTTTAGGGCTTCAACAACAGAAATTCAGGGCCCTTTACTTTTCTTGCTACCTACTCTTCTCTCCCGGCACCCAACTACGCTTGGCTGTGAGACTTTAGATCATGATTCACTCAGATTACACACCGAGGAGCGTGCGGTTAAATGAATTCATATAACTTTTCTCTATGCTGGAATATTACCTAATGGATCAATTATCGTTTCTTAGGTTTGAGTTTACTAGAAAAAAGTTTAGGTGTTAATAGCTTTCCCATTATCTTCTACGCGGGAAGTAGAACTTGTCATGACGCGCTAACTTGGTGAACCGATGACTCACATTCTACTTTCTTACGCGCAGCGCTCGAGTCGCCACCCGTCCGTCTCGTACCTTCGCCTGGATCCAAGACCCAGTTTTCCTTCCCCAGCCGCCTTCTCGCCACCCCTTCGTCCCATCGGGAGAGACGACCCAGGGCATCAGCTGGGGTCACTGTAGTGTCTCGGGCAAGATGGTCCTAGGTTAGAGTCCCGACGACAGGATGTACGTCACTAGCTTGTCAGCCAGGTCGAATTCAGTCGCTGTCTGGAAGAGAACTCTAGCGACTGGCTGCTCTGATCTCCGATAAATACCAGACCAATACCGAAGTAGTACACCAACACACAGGCCGCGAACCGCGCGCGATCTTTCCTCCCTCTTCTTTGTTCTATCCTCACCCCTTACACGCGCATACACACAAACTCGTCCTACACTACCACACATACCGAGGGACCGGTCGGGAGCTTAGAGCCTGCTGCCCGCGAGTGAAGTGCGCATCCCCTTAAGAGGGAGATAGTTGGTAGAAGAAAACCCAGTTAATCGGATATCATCATCCAGCGGGGGGAGATAACCGCCACCTCCCAAGGCAAAAAATGCTCTATACATGCGGGAATAATGACTTTAGCAGTTAACGCTTCATCAATCTATCAAAATCCTCCCTTCTCCCCAAGCGCCGATCTGTATGCACATCCCACTTATCTTCCGCCCCCAGAACCTTTCACCCACCATGACGACATCAACTCAACTCACAAAATACCCCACATCCTCTCATACCTTTACAATACATCTACATCTAAAATACAACAATATAATAATAATCCTAAATTTCTTAACCTTGTCCTATTTCACCTCCTTATCCTACAAAATCCCCCCTCACGGCGTAGATAGAAAAAGCATTCCCCGAATATCCTACAACTTCCTCCTCCCATAACCTAGGCAGACTAAACCACATTATCTTAAATTATAGGTGTTGTGTTGTGATATCTTTGGCATTTTAAAAATAATTAAAGATGTTGTCATTGCCAACAATATTTTTTAATGCATTAGCAGCTTTCGATGGCTTAGCCATCATCATCAGTTGTCTGCTAGATGGAAGCCACAAAACGACTAGTAGTCGGGTAGTCATCTGATGACATCTTTCATTATTTTAACTTAAATTAACCAACACATTATTGACAATAACTTACAGTAGATCACAATGCAATATCACAAATTCCTTGTTCTCCCATATCCCTCTAGAACATTCCCATCCAACATCCTTACCAATTTCACCCCACCCCCCAATCCTTCAGGAACCGTAACAAAACAACCAGTCTCTCTCTAACAAAAGAACCCTTCCACCTAACACCCACACTCCCAATCACCGTCCCTGTACGGGGGAGGGTAGTCGTCAACGTAAGACGACAAACCATCAAGTCGATCAAGGGCCCCTCACGTGTCCGGACAAAAAGAGAAACAACCAGTACGCTTTTTCGTTTTCGTGCCGTTCTAGGGTGTTTGGCGGGCTTTCTGCTCTGAGGTTACGTTGAACATCGCTCTTGGCGCGCTAAGGACGTTGGGCGCCATAAAATGCGCAGCATAAAATCTTGTACATATTTCTTTCTACGACTTTTATCCTACTGAAAGCGGTTACCCTTTGGGCGTATATTCGCCCAACACTAGACATTAACACACTAGCGGACTCCTCACCAGAAGTCGAGACTCTCCGTGACAGCACACTCATGCGAGACAAGGGACAAACAAGCATGTTTAAGGCCAGGCTCGAACTCGTGATCTTTCGAACCGAAGCGCTGAGTCGTTATATGCTCTTAGCAAGCTCGACCATTCTGAGCGGCTTAAAAACTGCCTACTTTTTGGAACTAAATTTGGAATTTCTAAGTCCACGTACTCGTGACAGCACGATATTCTTGGCAGGATTTGCTAGTGTCACTTATTTTTGCAAAGCGTAGGTTTAAGTGTAAGTATTCGCACAAGTGGCGCAGTGGAGCAGCAGTAGCAGTTATTGGTACACTCCCCCCAACAAAACACAGTTCTAAATGGCAGCTAGATCATTCAGTAGCGCAACTGAGCCTAGTTGCTTAGCTGCATGGCAGCTGCCTGCGTCCACAGCGATTTATCTAGAATCCTTCCTTTCCCACGCTGAGTGGCGCTGGTCGTTGACTGTGTATGAAGGCCCCCGGCGCTTCTCGGTGGCGCCGCCGAGTGGCTCCGTGTGAAGGCCGCGTAAAGCGGGCGTCTCTTGTTGAGCAGTCGCTGGCGACGTTCGTGGACATGCAGCTGCTGCGCTTGCTGCGTGTGTCGCTGGTGCCGGCGCCGCTCGCCGCCTTCCTGCGCAGCACCATCTGGGCGGCTGCGCGCGAGCGGGAGCGCACGGGGACGCTGGGCGCGCGCAGGGACATGCTCGATCTTTTGCTCGAGCTGCGCGACAAGGGCCGCATCGCTGCGGACGAGGACACGGCCGATGGTGGCGATTCTGGTAGACGCATTGCTGATGAATGCAATGGTCGCAGTGCGGTGGAAAATGGCACTGCTGGGGACGACAAAGGGGCTGGTTCCATTGAGAACGGTGAGTCCGTTAAGGGAAACAATTAGGCGAACTTATGTAGAGCGGCATAAACGTTTTTTGAAGACCAGCTTTTGTTTGATAGAGTCGGGGGAAGGTAGTAATAAATCATAGTTTTTGATTTATTCATCATTGTCTTACATACGTATACATACATTTCTTGTTGCTTTACACATACGTAATTAAATTTACTGAACACGTTTGTACAGCATTCCTGTCAATTTTTGTTTAGAGGATAATCTAATATCTTTATTTTGGATTTATAAAATGAGAGTTACACTATCTTTCCTCGACACTTCTATTGATTTATGTGTTCTTGTTGTACGAATGGTACCTCATTTCCCTTTCTTCTCAGTTCTTATAAAAAGTCGTTGTTGTGGCTCTCGCCTCCTCTCTCCCTTTCTTACTCACATTCATTTATATTTATCTAGACATTCTTATATTTATTTAACTTAATCCTTCCGTTGATTTTCTCTTTTGTTCACCTCTTTCTTTCATCATTTCTTCCGTTTTTCCTCGGTACCATTCTAACTTTCACATTACGTTATCCTTAATAAAATTCTTCCGATTTTTATTTGTATAGTTTTCGCTCAAATTATGCCTCCTTTATTTCTTTTCAATTAATTTTACCAAATTAACAGTTCTTTTGAACGTACTTTTGCTTAAACAAGACTATCATTTTCTTCAGATATGGATGGTGACGTGCTCATCGCACAAGCATTCAGTGTATTTTCGGCGGGGTTCGATACCACATCATCTACCATGAGCTTTGCTCTGTACCACTTGGCCAAAGAGAAAGATATTCAAGACAGACTCAGAAGTGAATTACAAAAGGTTCTTCACGACAATGATGGGAAACTTACATATGATGCATTGCAAAGTGTGGAATACTTGGATATGATTTTCTCAGGTAAGTTATACAGTGGAAGAAGAAAACTCTCATTAAATCCTGCAAAAGGGAGTCAATATGTAGTCAATGACTCCGTAAATAAAACACAGAACCTCTGAATTATTTTTCAATAATAGATGTCTAATGATATTGGTTTTACAACATTGGTGGAACAGAAACTTCTTTTTAATACGTGTGAAATGTTTGAATGCATTCAGAAAGAAGTAACTCTCCCATACAATGTTGATTAAAAGGATATTTAACTTCGTTTCTAAATTCAATATTTTTCATATTACATTGTTCCAAGTCATAAAATAAAAAACAACAAAAGGCATCTTTAGAATATATTCTAGATCTTTTCCTTTTCTTTTTGTTTCTTTTGCCGTTTGTCAGATTTTCTCCAGCATACAATTAGTATCACCGAGAATGAGCTCTATAATGCCATGCACGTGCTGGCAAGGGTTGCGTTTTTTCTAATGCACTACACTAGACAAAATGTACATATTTTTCAATAATTGTTGTGAAAGATTTCAAAAATATTAATGTTGTATTGTCGTTAAATAGTCTTTCAAATACATTCGAATAGTACATGTTATAATGAAATCATGAATCTGAATTAATATGTGCATTCTTGTAGATTGCAGACTTTTTCAAAGACCAAAAACTTTTTTTTTCATTTTGCATTCTGGCCATTTGCCATAACCAAGTATGGGAAACAAAGTGTGTTTATTCATATCCAGAGACAACGGTTATTTTTCGTTAAATATGCAGTTTAAGTATTTGGCAAGTTTCCCATCAATAATTAGTTTTTTGTTCCATTTTGAATGGTTGATTTTCGGCTCTTTTATTGTTAGTTTTTCTTCTGCACGGAACTTTTTGAAATTAATCCCTGAACAAAAATGTATTATGTTGAATGTGTTACTGAATAGCAATCGCGGTATAGTTAGAAAATTACTGTGATGTCACCACGTCAGTGATGTACGAAAAGTTTAATGGGGTCTGTAACCAAATATGAACCGGCGATTGACAAATATAATGAAGATTACATTGATTTTAAATTATAACACCCTGAAACGATGATGTGATGATGGGAATTAATACTGGAGTGTGATATTACAACACGAGAGAGAAGCAAGCGAATATCGTAAATTTCACACAAGTATGTTAATACCCCTTACATCGAGTTTCATACGGTACTTTTTCTGCGACTTATGGTAAATTTTATAAGTTAAACTTTTACACTGCATCGTTTCGAGGCAGTTGACATGCAGGATTCAGCCAAGGTCATCTAGCTGACAGCTCCCTAAACCTACCTTAGAAGGTGGATTTGGTTACCATTGCCAGCTAAAGAATTCTGTAAATATGATCAAAGTGAATTACAAGTAATATTCCAGGAAAAAAATATTGATAGTAAAAGTAATTAAAACTGACAACCCTAATGTAATAATAAATGTAATTTTAATGTTTAGAATCGAACGAAACATTTTCTACAGAGATTATTAATGATTAAATAAGTGTCAATACTTGGTTTGTAAACCTCTCTGAGATTGGTCAAGAACTAGTATCATAATGAAATCTGTATCGTAATGAGTATCATTATGCAACTGGTCTCATCCATCAAATGACAGGATTATACAATGAGAGTAGAAAAAATATTAAATTTGATAATGAGTTGTGTTCTCGTATAAAGCAATAAAACATATAATAATAAATTGCAAATGCGCTTCTCACTCTTACTATTCATCATTCATCTTTAGGATCACAAGCGTAGTTAGGCTGGTTCAACCGGTGTATCGCTCTGATTGGTTGCATCGCAGTGGTTGGTCAAAGAAACCAATCGCACTTCATACTTATTTTCTCTATTCCACCACCTAATACCTATTTGATTTAAAAATCTTAAAATCCTATTTATTGCAGATAGAGGCCCCATTTCGACTTTTTGCACCAAATCATCCCAGGACCTACATGCATAATTACTTAGAATGTTTAGAAATCGCAACTATTTGTAACTTTTATTCACAATGATACTGTATCGCGGAAGTAAATGCGCCCTCCATTATGAACTAGATAAATATTTTTTTTTATTTATTACCTCCTGTTCGGCATTGCTGCCTTTCAGGGTTGTTAACATTTTACAAAATAATGCTTTGACGTTTGTTCTCACGCCAATTGTCCTGAATATTACAATGTTCTCACGCTAATTGTCCTGAATTTGAAAATTGATTTGATTCAAATTTATTTTTATAATTCATTGAATAAAATATTTATATGTCATTATTTACTATGTCATTAAATTGTATGATCAAAGACACCCAATATTTTATAATCAGTGCACAACAATGAAGATTTCAAATGTAGGTCCTCAGAAGTGGAAGAGTCTTCGATTGTTGAGACTCACTATGAATTAAGAATTTTTTTTGTGAGTTTTCCTTATTTTGTGGTTAAAAGTGTTATTAATAGAATAGTTACCACTACGTTACTGAGAATAACAGAGTATTTTCCACCATAACATTCAATTCCTTGTGTATCTTGTATTTCATTTAAATATAATTACTTTAATTAATTACTTTTTCTGTGATCTGTCCAATTAGAAACACTCAGGTTGTACCCAAATCTTCCTTTCTTGGACCGAACTTGCACGAAAAATTACAATATTCCTGGCACCGACATCGTCATCGAGAAAGGCGTTCCAGTCTTTGGGAGTTTATATGGAATCCAAAGGGACCCTCAGTTCTTTCCCGACCCTGATCGCTTTGACCCGGAAAGGTTCTCTGCCGGGAAGAAAGCGAATATCCCCAAAAGCTGTTTTGTGCCTTTTGGAGGAGGCCCACGGAAATGCATAGGTAAGTCCACTCACATGGCACGTGACGTGTGATACCACGTAATTCATTATTTTAACCTTCTTAGAAAGCACATAATGTACGGTGCATGTGTTGTGTTGCTTGATGTGCGAAAAGACCTTGAGAAGCAGTTGAGGCAGTCGAGTTAATCGATCCGCTATTAGCGCGTATTACTCCCGAAATTAATGCAAAAATAAAGATGTGGATTCTTGAAGCATCATGATATTGTAGTTGGAAATAGGAAGAACGGTAAAATACCGGAAATCCTGCCCCATTTTCTTCACGAACTCTACTCTGAATTCCTGTCACGGGCCAGAAATAAAATCCTGGTATTATCAGGCTGGATCTTATAAGAAGTGGATGACCATTCTCACAATTGTATTGAGTTCCCTCCTTAGTTATTTTACGTACTCATTTGAATTAAACAACCGTTATTTCTTTATTATAGGGTAGTTAAATGTTACCACAATGTAATAGAATTTTGTTCGATATGTTTGTGACCTAGCTGCAAATAACTCTCTGTACGCAGTTAATAAGTGGCTGTGTCAAATTTCTTAACTATTTAAGGAACGATTTTTAAAGTTTCTACAGTTTTGTAAATCCCAATTGCGTAATATTATAAATTAATATGTATATAAAATGAGGTAAAATAAATTGTAATGTTACCTGACCTCTCACCATTACAAAGCTTATACATTACTAGTTTCAGCAATGAGATGAGTTAAAAATCGTTCTCTGTAAAGTACGGTAATTTTATTTGATCACTTCATCTTTAGGTCTACAGAAATGTGGGTAATAATTCTATTTTTATCTATATAATATGAACAATAACAAACACTCTCTGGTTTAAAATAAGTAAAAATAAATAAGAAATAAAAATTGAAGATTTTGTAACAGGAGTATTTAAATAAAATATTTAACATGGATTAAAATAATATATAATTATTTTACGTTCTTTTTAAAACTACGCCACGGAGGTGGAGGTGGGTAGTTTTTGTGGAAAAGCGTTGTTATCTTGTATATTTCTGACGATGAAATTAATTTTTTTGCATCATAAACTACATCTTTAATTTAATTAAAATATCCCATCGTCTTTTCACAGGTTTCAAACTTGCTTATCTGCAAGGTAAGCTTGGTCTAGCACATCTCATTTTGAATTACAAGTTTTGGCCTTGTGCAGCAACACCTTCGAAGATGGAGTACAACCTTCATAGCTTTTTGCTTTCACCTCGCGATGGGGTGCCATTAATGTGTTCCCGCGTGGAGAAATGAAGTCTTGCGTTTTTGGAATTTTAAACTCTTTTTATTGTCAGTTTATTTTAGAAGTAACCAGTCTTGAATGTAAATATGAAACAACTACTGACAACAAGAACCAAAACTGAGAAGAAATTGACGTTTGATAACATAAACGGTACTCATTGTATAATTTGATAGTACGATTTTGTTCTTCACTTTGTGTATATCATGTGTTGTGCTCACTGTCCACGGTGCAACCTTGGATTCGATTACCGGGCGAGACAAATTACAACAGTGCGCTGTACCTTTCATATGTTCCAGTATCTATTGCTGTGCGACGACCATAAATCCTACCGTAAGGTTCAGAAGACCAGTATATACGGTGGAAGAATGCCTCCGTGCTAACCACACGAACCCCTTATCACATGACTGAGAGGCTAGATCACCGTGACTCGGTCAAGACCCATAACGGGCTGTGTAGCCAAGAACAGGGCAGGACAAGGTATTAGAAACAGAAACGTATCACAAAAATGTACAAGATACCGATATTTTTGGTAGAGATATTTCTTCTTGTGCCGAATACTCAACGCTAATGAAATTGTTCAAAGTGACCTCAGCCTCCCAGATAACAGGCTTCTGATTGTCTTTGCCCTGATTGATGAACACGGTCAAAACCGCTTCGTGCTTTGACGTCTGCCACATAGCGTGTATGAAGAGTTTCTTCATTATGTGTAGCAATCAAATACATCAAACTTTTCCTGTCGAGGTAATTTTGATCTCACAAACCTTGCTATAGTTCA